CCTGGGGTGGGGACAGGGCACTCTGCGGGCAGCAGAGCCGGGGGACGCCAGGCACCAGGCGCTGCCTCTCTTCCCAGTTTCCCCCAGTGTCCGTGTGGTCGCTGACCCGCCGAGCCCCATTGAGGTGAACAAGACCGTGAACTTCACCTGCCACGTGAACGGGTTTTACCCGGGAGATGTGGCCGTCACCTGGCTGGAGAATGGGACGGAGATGAAGGTGGAGAACACCTCCCGGCTGGTGGAGACTCCCCAGGGCTTGTTCGAGCTGAGGAGCCTGGTGGAGGTCAAAGCGACGGAGGAGAAGAACGGGTCCGTGTTCACCTGCCGAGTGGTGCATGATGCCCAGAACCCCATCAGCGAGATGGCTGCCCTGCGGATCGCCGCCCCAGCCAGGGATGGACTGAGCGACTGGTCTCAGACAGATAACAGTGCGTGAGAGCTGCTGGGATGCGGTCCCTGCCAGGGAGGCTTTAGGATGTCACCCCCCTGAGAAAGCTCAAAGTCCCACCAGAATCTGGTTCAAGGACACAAAATCTCCATATTGGGGGGCTAGGGGGGTGTGATGCTGGCAGGTATCGAGCTGTCATCCTCGGTGCTTTGGCTGTCACCAGGCCAACCCCAGCTGTAAGGCTGCAGGGACTCGGTTGGTACCAGCGTTTTCAGGCCTGTGGTGACCTTTTTCATTCATGTTTCAGACAATTTGCTCCTCATCTATATTGTGGTGGGAGTGGTCTGCACTGTGCTGGCACTGCTGGTGACTGCAATTCTTTACCTCATCCGGGCAAAGCAGAGCAAGGGTAAGGAAACCAAGTGCACGGCAGGGAAGCAGCTGCTCCTGACCCCCTTCTCCCTCTCCCTCGAGCATCAGGGCTTGGACACTGAATTCACGGCTGTGCTGCTGCAGCTCCTGCCCAAAGGGGAGGACGGAGCAGAGCTGACCGGGTTGTTTGCAGGCTGCAGGGAAAGCTCTGCCTGATTGCCGCTGCGTGCCAATGCCTGCCAGGAGCAGAGTCAAACGTGGTGGTTGTTCCTGGACCTAAAATATCTGACACCCCCCTGCACCTCCTGCCCTCTGCCAGGAACAGTCCTGCAGTAAATGGAGTGAAACTCCAGAAAACTGCAGGCACTTGCCTCTGGGAAAAGACGTGTATCTGCTCTTGCAGCAGTCTCTGCATGTGGGCTCCTGTGCCTGGGGAAGCGGGGGGGTTATGTTGTTTCCTGAACTATTTTTTTTCCTAAACTATTTCTCTTCTGGCAGGTAAAAGCTCGCCATCTGCTAGGTAAGTGCCGATCTCCTCTAGTCACTGAGTAACCTGTGGGCACTCTGAGCTGGACACCTCCAGCCTGCGAAGGAGGTCCCTTGGGATCGGGACAGAGCTGGATCCCCAAAAGCTTGTTGTGAAACGGAAGGCAGGAGCCCAGGCTCTGCTGATCTCCCTGGTTGCGGTTCTGCCCCCACAGTGATCTTGTACCCAAACGCTTGGCTTTTGGTGAGGCTGAACAAGCGGGTGGGAGCCAGGTCTCCAGCCTGCAGAGATGTAGCTGGACCAGCACGTGAGCAAATGCTCGCTTGGTGAGGACTCATCCTGCTTGGGGCTGCTGCGAGGACCTTGTTTTGCATCTGAATCCCCCACTGCTCCATCGCTAGGGGAGAGGCAACAGGACACTCGGTGGATCTGACTTGTTTTGTCCCCCCTTTCAGGTTACATGAGCCGGAGAAGAGCAGCGAGGCCACTACCCAGGTGTGTCGCTTAACCCCGGGACCCGGGGAGGGAGAGCACCAGACGGGGGAGTGGAGGGTGGTGGTTCCTGTGTGAAAAATCTCGGTGTCTCCAGTGGAGGGTGGTGGTTCCCCTGTGAAACGTCTCAGTGTCTCCACGCTGTGGCTGGGGGGGGGAGAGGAGGCTCCCCCGGGGCTTCGTAGCCACTTGGTAGCCACTTCCCAGCATCTCTTCTGCCTTCGCACTCTCTCCTCCTCCTCCTCCTCCTTCTCCTCCTCCTCCCAGGAAAGTCTGGGTTTGTGCTGCCTGGAGAACCAGCTGTGTGATAGCCAACCAGGCTATTTGTGGAGTTATTTTTGCATTTGGTGACACAGTTACGAGCAAAGTCGTGATCAGCAGCAATCTGTCCATCCCACCCGGCCTCTGCCAGCTCCCATGTGGGCGGCGCTGGGCAGGCTGGCTCCTGCCCATCCCTACCAGGATGGGGTGACGGGGCAGCCGCAGTGGTGGCTCTTGAATCGCGGCGGTGGCTCTGAAGCCTGTCAGTGGCAGCGGTGGCTGGTGATTTGAAGGTGTAGCACAGG